ATTTGCCCCCTGAATCGGGCAGGTGTGGACTGAGTGCCCAGCACCACCACAGCGCACATGGGACATGAGAGGTGTATGCAGGTCCAGCCGTTTCTCCTCCAGTGGAGGCAACCAGAAGCAGATAGAAAGCAGGCAGAGAGAGATCTCTCTCCCAGAGAGAGAGATCCAAAATGGCCTATCGCTAGCAGCTCGGGATTGTAGCTCCCAGTGAAAGCGCAGAGAATGAGAAGACACCACACTTTCAGACAAATTTTTGTTGCTCACGCACCAGGAGATTCCCAGCGGAGGAGCCCCACGGGTCACCAGCACGACTCTTGTGGCCAGTGGGGCGGTTTTGCTGCTGCCTTGGTGCGGCGGTTCTTGCTGCAGAGTCAGAAAAGCACCATCAATCTTAACGCCGCTGTTTTGGCCAGCGCAGTGGGTTGCTGAGATTTAGCGCTGGGAATCAACAAGTTGGACGTCCACTCAGAAACCCAATTATAAAGACGATAATTATAAAGACCACAGATGGATAAATCCATAACAAAGGGAAGAAACCAGCCTAAAAAGGCTGAGAATACCCAAAATCAGAACGCCTCTCCCTCTACAGTGGATCACAGTTCCTCATCAGCAACAGAACAAGGCCTGATGGAGAAAGACTGTGTTCCATTAGCAGAAGCAGGCTTCAAAAGGTGGATGAGAAGAAACTTCAGTGAATTAAAAGAACTTGTTCTAACCCAATGCAAAGAAACTAAGAACTTTGAAAAAAGGTTTGACAAAATGTTAACAAGAATACACAATTTAGAGAGGAATATAAGTGAATTAATGGAATTGAAAAGCAAACACGAGAACTTTGCGAAGTATGCACAAGTTTTAACAGCCAAATTGATCAAACAGAAGAAAACATATCAGAGGCCAAAGACCAACTTAATGAAATAAAACGAGAAGACAAGATTAGAGAAAAAAGGATAAAAAGGAACGAGCAAAGTCTCCAAGAAATACGGGACTATGTGAAAAGACCTAATCTACGTTTGATGGGTGTACCCAAATCTGATGAAGAGAATCAATCCAAGCTGGAAAATACACTTCAGGATATTATTCAGGAAAACTTTCCCAACCTAGCAAGGCAGGACAATATTCAACTCCAGGTAATACAGAGAACACCACAAAGATATTCCTCAAGAAGACCAACCTCAAGGCACATAATCGCCAGATTCACCAGGGTTGAAATGAAGGAGAAAATACTGAGGGAAGCCAGAGAGAAAGGTCAGGTTACCCATAAAGGGAAGCCTATCAGACTCACAGCAGATCTCTCAGCAGAAACCCTACAAGACGGAAGAGAGTGGGGGCCAATATTCAACATCCTTAAAGAAAAGAACTTTCAACCCAGAATTTTACATCCAGCCAAACTAAGCTTCATAAGCGAAGGAAAAATAAAATCTTTTGTGAACAAGCAAGCACTCAGAGATTTCATCACCACCAGGCCTGCTTTACAAGAGCTTCTGAAAGAACCATTACAAATAGAAAGGAGCAACCAGTATCAGCCTTTCTAAAAAATACCAAAAAATAAAGAACATCAACATAATTAAGAACTTGCATCAACTAATGAGCAAAACAGCCAGCTAACATTAAATGGCAGTATCAAACTCACATATATTATTATTAATTCTAAATTTAAATCGACTAAATCTGCTAATCCAAAGACACAGGCAAAAAAAAAAGCCAAGACCCATCAGTATGCTACATCCAGACCCATCTCACATGCAAGGATACACAAAGACTCAAAACAAAGGGATGGAGAAAGATTTACCAACCAAATGGAGAGCAAAAATAAATAAATAAATAAAAAGCAGGAGTTGGAATTTTTGCCTCTGATAAAATAGACTTTAAAGCAACAAAGATCAAAAGAAGCAAAGAAGGATATTACATAATGATAAAAGGATCAATGTAACAAGAAGAGCTAAAGATCCTAAATATATACACACCCAATACAGGAATACCCAGATATATAAGACTTATAAAGAGACTTAGACTCCCACACAATAATAGTAGGAGACTTCAACATCAATATTAGACAGATCAATGAGACAGAAAATTAACAACGATATCCAGGGTTTGAACTCAGATCCAGAACAAGTAGACTTAATTAACATTTATAGAACTCTCCACTTTAAATACACAAAATATATGCTCATATCAGTACCACATCACACCTAATTACAGGTTTAAATGAAATATTGGTTGGCTGCTTGTTAGTTATTTTCTTCCCTCATTTTTTTTTCATGTCTATTATTAAGCACAATTATAGGCATACCCACTTTTAGACTGCATTCTAGCCCGGGCAATAAAGCAACTCTCCCGTTCTCTCTCCCTCTTCCTCTTCCTCTCTCTCCTTCATTTTTTTTTAATTCTATTTTTTTCTTTCTTTCTCTCTTTCTTTTTTCTTCTTCTAAAAAAGAAAGCAGGCAGGTCCCACAGGACAGCCCTGAGCCAGCGTGAGCAGCAGGTGAATCTGCCGGGTGCTCACTGTAACCAGGAGGACACGTGAGCCAGTGCAGACACCTGGGACTCAGCCCTGGCCAACAGTGCTTACATCTGCCAGCCATGTGGAGATGAAAATGAAGGCATGCCACATGCGTGTCTGTGTGCATCCGTGTGGGTGTGCACGTGTGTGCATTGGTGTGTGTGCATGTGTGTGCATTGGTGTGTGTGTGCATTGCTCTGTGTGTACATGTGCATGTGTGTGCATCGGTGTGTGTGCATTGCTGTGTGTACATGTGCATGTGTGTGCATCGGTGTGTGTGTGCATCGCTGTATGTGTGCATGTTTGTGCATCAGTGTGTGTGCATGTGTGTATATGTGTGCATCACTGTGTGCATGTGTGTGTGCATGTGTGTATATGTGTGCATTGCTGTGTGTGCATGGGTGTGTGTGTGCACATATGCGCATTGGCATGTGTGTGCATTGCTCTGTATGTGTGCATGTGTGTGCATCACTGTGTGTGCATCGGTGTGTGTGCATTGCTGTGTGTACGTGTGCACATGTGTGCATCACTGTGTGTGCATTGGTGTGTGTGCACGGAGGCTGAGGCTGGCCACAGAGAGCATGGCTGGCCTGCAGGCGGGTGGGCATGAGACACATGCACCTCTACCATCAGACACTGCAGCCCCACAGGAAGGAGGCACTGAAGCTTGTGGCATGTGGAACTGTGAAAGTCATGAGGCCCCACACACTGAGCCCTGTGGGAGGCTGGTGCTGCTCACAGGGCAGGTGTGCAGCTGCCTGGGTGGGGAGCATCAGGCAGGGGCCCCGGGCGGGGCCGGCAGTTTCCTAGCTCTGGAACCCGGCCGCCTCCCACCACCCGTGTCCCTGCAGGATAATTCACTCAGCATTCGTGATGTATTTTCTCCATGGGACACGAAGCTTTAGAAGTTTTTCAAAATAAAGTGACAATAGGGTTTTCGAATGCCTTGTATGAATACATGGGGCCAGTGTGAGTTTCATCAAGGGGTGAAACCACCGCTCGACTGACCCAAGAGACGGCGGAAGCCAAAAACGAAGCTGCTTCTGTGGCTTTATCCCAACAGGTGTGCCTGTGCAGTGGAACCACTGCTGATGTTACAGGTAAATATATCAGCTAAACAGCCTGGCCAGTTAACAAACAGAAAACTGTGGAACATCCCATTAAATCCAAATTTCAGAAAAATGATTAATATTTTCTAGAACAAGTCTGTTCCAAACACTGCATGGGATAGACTTACACTAAAAAATGATTCCTCATTTATCTGAAATTCAAATTTGTCGGGATGTCCTGCATCGTGTGTGGCAACCAGCCCTTAGACAGGCAGAGGGTCTTGCTGGGGACCTAGGGGGGCCACAGGGCTCCTCTTGGGCACTGGGGTCAGGCTACCCTACACCGCTGTGACTGTTCACAGCCCCTCCAAGTCCTCTGATCCCAGTAATGCCAGACGAGATTGCTCTCCCATCCAGGGTCATGGGAATGCAAGGCAGATTAAATGGGTTTAAAAAATCAGAAACGGAGTCCTTAATGTTCCAGAATGTAGTGAAGTGAGATTTACAGCCATTACCTAATCGATGTGTAACCTTCTAGAAAACGAAACAGGAGGACCGGGCGTGATGGCTCACGCCTGTAATTCTAGCACTTTGGGAGGCTGAGGCGGATGGATCACCTGAGGTCAGGAGTTCAAGACCCGCTTGGCCAACATGGTGAAACCTTGTCTCTACTAAAAATACAAAAATTAGCTGGGCGTGGTGGGGGCACCCGTAATCCCAGCTACTCGGGAGGCTGAGGCAGGAGAATCGCCTGAATCTAGAAGGCGGAGGTTGCAGTGAGCTGATATCACGTCACTGCCCTCCAGCCTGGGTGACAGAGCAAGACTCCATCTCAAAATAAAAAAAGAAAAGAAAACAGGAAGGGGAAAGAGTGGGCATGGAAACCCACCCAGCAGGCAGCTTCCCACGGGCCTCCCCGGGTGCTCAGGTGCACCCGGATGGGCAGATTTCGGTCAAGAAGCACCAGACACGCCACCGCTCCTCCCGAACACCCCAGGTCTCAGAAATATCAGACGCTCAGAGGCCAGGAGGTTTAGTCTGCAGTCTAGGTTTGCTTCCCAAGGACAGTCTCCAGGCGCATGAGGCACCTCCACAGGACACATGAAAGTCTCCACAAAACCAGCCCACTTGGAGCTCTGCTGGCATCTGTGGGAAGATGTCCTCCTAACCCTGGGGTGCGGCCGACTTGGGATCTGTGAGAAGATGCGCTCCTCACCCTGGGGAGCAGGAGCCTGCACAGAGAGACCTGGCAGAGGCCGAGGTCTGCCCCTCCCCAGAGGGGCTCAGGGCTGCAGCCAGGGGTCACCAACCCCTGACCTGGCCACAGCGCACCTCCCTCTGAGGAACATGGCTCCCTCCGGGAAGCCAAGGGTGAAGGTCTTGGGAGGCCCAAGCCAAGACTCTGTCCTGATCACACGGTCATTCGTTCACCAGTGCTGGAGGCTCCCTAAGAGTTTGCAGATTTTTGGCTTATTTCCTCCAGAGAGCATCTTAAGTCTTCTTAGTAAAATGGAGCAGAATGAGTGGACTATTCGGTCAGGGGCTCACAGCACCAGGGCGGGCGTCTGGTGGCTTGGCAAGCTGATTCAGGCTTTCTCCTCCTTGGGCCGCAAGGAGCCAGCATGATGGGGACCTGGGTGGAGGGAGCTGCGTGTCCCCTCGCTGGCAGACCCCAGGCTGGCACCACAGAGGCAGGCGGCCCCCACCGAGCCCTGCAGGTCCTTTTCCTCCGCGTGGGCTCTGGAGCATTGCCTAGGAAACCAGACACATCCCTGACTTGGAGGAGGAGCTGGAGTCCCTGGAGATGCCCTTCATGTCATCTGGCATCTGACCGTCCGAGCGCCACACATTCAGCTCGCCGAAGATGCCCGTCTCAATCATCTCCTCCTGCCAGGGGATGGGGCAGTTGCCAGTGGCGAATTCCTGAAAGAATTCTGTGTCTGTTTTGTCAAAGGCCACACCTTTGACAGTGGAAAAGGCACCCACGTCCTGAATATCCTTTGCGTAGACAGTTTTGGAATCTGGGATGAAAGGGGGTATCAGCATCCCTGTGGGAGACAAAAAACACAGACGAAAGGCACCTCGCGCGGGGAAGGAAGCGCCGTTTAGCCAAAAAGCCTCCCCCTGCAGCTCCGAGACGCACAGAGGCCTGGGGCCGCTCTTCCTTGGGGAAGTGTCTCGGCAGCTGACAGAGAAAACCCGGTGTGCCTGGAAGGCCCTGGGTTCCCCTGAGACCACGTGGTTGGGGCACGAGTGGCTGGAAGAAGCCCCAGGTCCCAGGGCCCATTTTGGAGGCTTCTTGTGAAAGGAGCCAGTGCTCACGTTTGCCTCCTCGGGAGGCTCCCGTAAAGCCTCATCAAGAAGCGGTCTCCCAGCACCTCCCCCAGCACCCCTTCCCTGGGACCCCGTCCCCACTGGGGCTTCCCCTGCCCACTCTGAAGACCCCAGACACCAGGCACTCGAGCACATGCTCCAGGGAACTTGGCAGCTCCCTCCCAAACCAGCAACCCTCCCTGACGCACCCCAGCCCCTGATGGTCAGACAGAGTGGGTCACAGACATCCCCAGTGGGCGGGTGGGCCCCTCCTCTCCGTGCACTGACCCAGACCCGGCCGGCCCATGCTGGCCACCAGAGAGCCTCTGCAGCAGCCTCAGCACCGTCTGCCTGCACCGGGAAACCCTGCACGGCTGCCACGTGGTTCCTCCTCTCAGCTCCTCCTCAGCCTCAGCACCCCGGGCTCAAACCTTTCTGTGGCTCAGACTTCCTTACGGGGCAGGCCTGGCCCCTCCTTGCCTTGTAACCCTTGGAGCCCCCTTGGGTTCCCTGGCCACAGCCATCGTTGCCTCGCTGGGCCTGCCTGGGGCACTGTCTGGCAGTCACTGCTGCAGCCCTGAGGTACGGAAGCGACATCACTTTCAGAGCATCTCCTGCTCCCGGCTCACCGTGGTCCTATCCTCACCTGAGTCAGTCACACTGTGCACGTGGCCTACCCCTTCCACCTGATCACAGGGTCCTAGACGGCACGGCTGCGTCTCAGACACACTAGTGCACGAACACCGACACGTGTGCACATGCACACACACACGTGCACACATGCACACACCCACACATGCACACATGGACACACACACTCATACATGCATGCACACACACATGCAGACATGCGCACACATCCACACATGCATGCATGCACACGCATTCACGCATGCACACATGCACACACACCCACACATGCACACACACACACATGCACATGTACATACATGCATGCACACACATTCACACCCGCACACACCCACACACATACATGCACACGTGCACACACACATGCATGCACACATGCACACACACACATAGTATCTTGCACATCAATTTGACAAGCACGTGCTGGTGGGTGGGTGACTGTCTCCTGGGCCACCAGCCTGAGCCGCCAGCCTCCATGTGATCACGGGCTCCCTGCAGCACCGGGCACGTGGCAGAAGGTTTGGGTCTTGAGGCTGCAGCGCAGCCAGTGTGTTTCCTGCCTCCCATCGCACCCAGAGCCCTCCAGCCCGATGCCAGCTCCATCGGCTGTTCCTGTGGCTAGCAGGATGAGTGGAGAACTGGGGGCCTTGCCGGGGGGCAGAGGGGAAGCCTCGGGGGTCTCCGGCACTCCTCCCTGCCGACTCGCAGGCCGGACCGGGCAGACCCCCGAGGGCCACGCAGCACAGACCCCTGCCCTCTCTGGGGCCGAGGTGCCCAGCAGTACCGGCCTCCAGCTGCCTCCAGTTAATGTCCTTGAAGAGGGGGTGGGCACGGAGCCTGTCGCAGGTCTGGTCCTGGAACCCCAGGCGCTTCTCGGGGTCCTTCTCCAGCAGCGCCTCGCAGAAGTCCTTGCTGGCCTGGCTGAACTTGTCGGGGTACTTCACAGGCTCCTCGAGGATCCGCTGCTTCAGCTCCTTGTTCTCCACCTGCAGGGACACGCGTCACCTCAGACCTGCCGGACCCGCCACCCTTGGGCGGTCAGACCAGACCACAGCTCCTCCCACGCGGGTGGGGGACCCGGGAGGCCCCGCGTCCCTCCCCACAGCTCCTCCCACGCGGGTGGGGGACCCGGGAGGCCCCGCGCCCCTCCCCACAGCTCCTCACACGAGGGTGGGGGACCCGGGAGGCCCCGCGCCCCTCCCCACAGCTCCTCACACGAGGGTGGGGGACCCGGGAGGCCTCGCGTCCTTCCCCACAGCTCCTCCCACGCAGGTGGGGGACCTGGGAGGCCCCGCGTCCCTCCCCACAGCTCCTCCCACGCGGGTGGGAGACCCGGGAGGCCCCGCGTCCCTCCCCACAGCTCCTCCCACGCGGGTGGGGGACCCGGGAGGCCCCGCGCCCCTCCCCACAGCTCCTCCCACGTGGGTGGGGGACCCGGGAGGCCTCGTGTCCTTCCCCAGCACAGCAGCACTTGAGGCTCCAGTCTCAGGAATGGAATCCTAAAGGTGAAGCTCTCAGGAGCCACAGGTGAGTGCCATGCATTTTGGGAACTCTGGCTGACCCATCCCTGGCACAGCCACACCCACCGAGGGAAGCAGCAGCAACAGGAAACCGAAGGCCAGCATGGACCCAGCCCAGCAGCAGCCTCCGCTTTCACTCCGCCCTGGTGGACAGAAGGCCGCAGTGGCTCTGTCGCCTTCAGGAGCTCCGCCAAGGTCTCCCTTCCACACCACACAGGCCCCACTGGTGGGCACGGTGTGAAAGGCGCTGCCCAGCCCCCAAGGCCCCCGGGTCAGGCCATCGACGCCCCTCCCACACGCGTCCCCTTGCCCTGGCAGCCCATGCCTGTGCCACGTCCCACAGACACAGAGTGGCCACTCGCATGCTAGCGTCCCGAAACCACACTGCTCCGAAACCTGTCCTGGCTCCGAAACAGGCCACACGTCCAGGGAGGTGAGGAGGGAGAGGGGTGGGCAGGGCCCAGGTGGGGTGGAGGTGGGCAGGGAAGGGCCGCACCTCAAGGCAGCCCAACGGGACTCCGAGACGGCCCCTCCTGGCTCTGTGGGCCACCCCCTCGGTCAAATGAGAGGCAGCCCAACCCTAAGCTCTGAGTCCCCTCACAGGGAAGAAGCCAGCCTTGCTCCACGCATCCTGAAGAGGGGACTGGCACCTGCAGATGTTATCTCTGTTTGTGGCTCTGGTGGCCTGGGAGCCGGGGGCACCCCGGGAGGCGCTCAGGGGAGACGCGGCAGCCCCCTAGGCGTCCACACTCCTGGACATTCAGAGCAGCTGGCCCCATAGTGGGCAGCGGGCTCTTGGCATCTGAGGAGAAGGGGAGCCAGTTCTTCTGCAACAGCGAGGGATGAGACCCACCCCGTGTTCCCAAGAGCCCCGGCCTCGGCAGCGTCTAGAGAATCAGTCCCCACCCCATGAAGGTTTGCCCCGCTCCCCAGGGTCCAGGGCCACGGTGGGATAAGTCACCCTCCCTCCTCTGGCCTGCCAGGAGGGACCAACCCCAGCATGGCCCTCAGAGGCTGAGTGGTGGCATGCTCTGCAGTGGGAGGGTCTGCGTGCTCTGAGGCACAGGGTGACTTGGAGTCCCACAGCCCCTCCACCTGCAGGCCTTGGAGGCGTTACCCATCAAGCCAGAACAGCATCGCCCAGGAGCAAGACCCTGGGACGTGAGTCTGTGCCCGCTCCCAGGCCCCGCACAACAACTCCCAGGCCAGGCCGCCTCCTACCTTCTCTCCACGGGCTCGGAAGGGTCCTCTGGCCACAATCATCTCATACAAGGTGACCCCCAGGGCAAAGTAGTCCACGGAGAAGTCATACTCCTCACCCCGCAGGAGCTCGGGGGCCATGAAACCTGCCAGCAAGGGACATTGTGGGTTCAGAGGTGGCCACGTCCCCAGGGGACACTCGCCCCGGCCATTGCAGGGACATTGTGGGTTCAGAGGTGGCCACGTCCCCAGTGGACACTCGCCCCGGCCATTGCAGGGACATTGTGGGTTCAGAGGCAGCCAGGTCCCTGGTGAGTGCTTGTCCTGGCCATTGCAGGGACATTGTGGGTTCAGAGGCAGCCAGGTCCCTGGTGAGTGCTTGTCCCGGCCATTGCAGGGACATTGTGGGTTCAGAGGCAGCCACGTCTCCAGCGGGCACTCACCCCGGCCACTGCAGGGACATTGTGGGTTCAGAGGCTGCCACGTC